AGTTTTTTATTTATGTGTAATATGATTTTAATGAAGAATGTGTGGTTAAAAGGAAGGGAGAGAAAAATTTATTTTGATAAAAATGAGAATCAAACGGGCCATTAATTTTCAATTATACTTTCTACCTAACCTGCTTTTCCTTTCCAATTTTCGTCTTGCTCTATGATATATGATATTGATTTGCGTTTGCAGTTTCCTCTCTTGTCCAAGAGCAATCTCTTACAAAAGCTTGTTTCGAGAGCCAGTGAGGAGAGTTCTAATGAAATTAAGTTAGTCGATTTTCCTGGTGGACCAAAAGCATTCGAAATGTGTGCTAAATTTTGTTATGGAATGACGGTTACTCTTAATCCCTACAATATTGTAGCCGCACGTTGTGCCGCAGAGTATCTTGAGATGATTGAAGATGTTGAGAGAGGAAACCTGATTTTCAAGATTGAAGTATTTCTCAACTCGAGTATTTTGCAAAGCTGGAAAGATTCCATTATTGTTCTTCAGACTAGCAAGTCTCTTCTTCCTTTGTCTGAGAATCTAAAGTTGGTAGCCAGATGCGTAGATTCTGTAGCATCAAAAACCTCAGTTGATCCCTCAAAAGTTACCTGGTCCTATACCTATAATAGGAAATTAGCAACTTCAGACAAGATAATTGAAAATGCCATGAAGTTTCCAGAGAAATTGGATTTTGTTCCAAAAGATTGGTGGGTCGAAGATATATGTGAACTAGACATTGATCTGTACAAGCGGGTTATGATTGCTGTGAAATTGAAAGGTAGAACGGATGGAAATGTTATTGGGGAGGCACTGAAGACTTATGCAGTAAGATGGTTGCCAGATTCAATTGAATCTCTGGCATCTGAAGTTTACAACAAGGGGAACAAATCTTTGGTCGAAACTATAATTTGCCTATTGCCTCCGGACAAGGGAATTAGCTGTTCTTGTAGTTTCTTGCTCAAACTACTGAAAGTTGCTATTCTAGTCGGAGCAGATGATACATCTAGGGAAGATCTGATTGAAAGTATCAGCTTGAAATTGGACGAGGCTTCTGTCAATGATCTCTTGATCCCGGCAAGATCTCCCCAGATGACCATTTATGATGTTGAACTTGTCCAGTCTCTCGTGGATCGATTTGTGACTCATTGGAAACGTAATACAGATTCTAATATTGGCGAGAAGGACAAAATGAAAGAGAATGACTTTGTTTTAGGGCGTGGTTCCTGGTTGAACGTTGGAAAAGTTGTTGATGGTTATCTTGCAGAAATTGCTCGTGATATAAATCTCTCTGTCTCTAGTTTTATTGAGCTATCACAGTCGATCCCTGTGTCAGCTAGACCAATTCATGATGGAATATACAGTGCCATTGATGTCTACTTGAAGGTAGGGACCTCCTTCTCCTTGGCTTATATTTTTCTCTATTCTAGAAGTGCTATGAGAATTGCAATAACTATTGCTTTTTTATGTACAATATTGACTCACACTTGCTTTTTAGGACATATATTATGCTAAAAGTACGTTTGATTGCCAATATTCTTCATGAAAAATGTCATTTTCACCCAAATTTATACTTCTGTACCATTTTATTGATATTTTTTT